ACAGAGGACACAGGCACCGCACAGAGCTCACAGAGCTCACAGGCCACAGAGGACACAGGCACCGCACAGAGCTCACAGGCCACAGAGGACACAGGCACCGCACAGAGCTCTGCAGACCATCAGGGAATACTCAACACTGGTTCTGCAGCACACATAACACCACATCCTATCTTCTCAGCTGTGGCAAAGTTTTCATTTAGTCAATATCCTTCTCTCCCGGCTCTGCCCTCACCCCTGCCTCTGTGTCCCCAGGCTCGGGAGGACATCCTGGAGACAGACCTGGAGGAGGCTCTGGACGGGCGCTGTGAGCTCATGGAGCAAATCCACTGTCTGAGGGAGGAACACGACAGGCTGGTCAGCGAGCATGAAGAGGTAGAGCACCCCGCCCACTGTCTTACTGTCTCACTGCCTCACTGTCTCACTATCTCACTGCAGCCCTGCCTCAATGCCTCAAAGCCTCACTGCCTCACTGCAGCCCTCCCTCACTGCCTCACAGTCTCACTGCCTCAATACAGCCCTGCCTCACTCACTGCAACCCTGCCTCACTTCCTCCCTTGAGCCCTGCCTCACTGCCTCAAATGCCTCACAGTCTCACTGCCTCAATACAACCCTGCCTCACTTCCTCCCTTGAGCCCTGCCTCACTGCCTCCCTGCAGCCCTGCCTCAGGTTTGCTCTGTCCCCCTGCAGCTGCTGGAGCAGAAGGAGAGCCTGGCTCTCCAGGCCCAGAAGCTGACTCTGGACTGTGAGATGTACCAGCAGAAGAGCGCAGTGATGCAAGCCCAGCTGCGTGACCTGCAAGCGGAGAGAGACCAGGTGAGTGCAGCTATGTTGTGTCCCTCTGTCTGATTGCTGGCGCCTCAGTGCACTCACCTGTCCCTGCGGCCCCCGTGTCCCTGCCACAGGCTTACCTGGCCCGGGATGATGCGCAGGCCCAGATCGCCAAGAGCCTGTCGGAGAAGGACGCCCTCCGGCTTCAGGTGGTGGAACTGCAGGATCAGCTGTTCACCCTGCAGACGCAGCAAGCCCAGCGGGACGAGGAGAGAGAGGAGGAGAGGGTAAGAAAGAAGAGCAGAGGGCAGAGGGGGCATCAAGGAGGACAGGAGGGTCCTCATGTTGCCTGTCTGTGTCGTTATGCTTCTGCAGCGCAGGACCTCCAGCAGCAGCTCTCCTTGGCAGGACACCCTGGTCCTGGACGCCCCACCTGGCCGGGCCAAGCTGTGCCGGATGAACGCAATCGGCAGTGAGGCTGTGCAGTGCCACAGCCTGGAGGTGTGTGTACCAGCAGGTCTCTCTCTTTGCCTGCGAGGCCGTGCTTCTCAGTAAGGCTTCTGTGTCACCGAGGTATTACAAAGATTGTTTCTGCTGGCAGGACTGTGACGAGCCTCTGTGCAGTTTCGGGTCCCAGAAGGCTGAGCCCCCCAGCTCTGAGTCTCTGCGCCGCAGAGAGGAGGAGCTCCAGCACAACAGAGAGAGGTGGGGGCGGGGCTGCACACTGAGTGACAGGGCGAGGGAAAGCCTGTATGGTGATGTAGGGAGGGGCCATGAGTCGGGGGAGGGGCCATGATACATGGGAGGGGCCACGGGTCAGGGAAGGGGCTAGTTATTGATCTGCTAGTGCAGGGAAAGTGAGAACATCACACCATGAATGGGGAACTTCTGATGATTTTCATTTCACATCTGATCTTAAGTACTGAACCAATTTGAATTTTTAAGAAAAGAAGTGAAATTATTTGTTTTCTTTTATTCAACTTGTGAATTGAAAAAGCCCAGCAAGACTGGAGTTGTCCATGGCTGGTCTGCATTAAGACAAGGGAGGGAAAGAAATTGACAGCTGGATTTTTAAAGAGATGCAAGATAAAACACTTTGACTTTCTGGAGAGTTATGGCTTTGCAAACTTAGAAAACCCAGCCCAAAGAGAGAAACCGAAAGATGAGAGGTGGAGAAAAGGGGACTCTGATTAGGAGGCCAAAACTTTTTTAAACCGCACAGGGTCCTGAAGTTCACTCACAATCTGTTTGTCTGCCTGTCGTTCTGCCCCCCACAGCTCTCAGCTGGGCTCCTGGGACTGTCTCCCCTCTGCCCTGGACATGGAAAACGAATATGTCTTTGTGTCCGAAGGTACCTCAGCCTGCACCCCTGACCTTTGACTTTTCCTGTGCTTTCACTAACTAAGCAAGGGCCCATGAACTCATGTTGTTAGTCTCCTTAAAGGAAATTATTAATAAGCTCCTGTTGATTAATTGTCATTTGCATCTATAAACTGTGCTCAAGTGAAGCAGCCCCCCGGAGTCCAGGGGTACGGGGACGTGGTGAAAGCTGTGGTGGCTGTGTGTGTTTTTCAGAGCCTGAGCCCACAGCAGCAGAGCCGCCCCTGCCCTCCCCAGACAGCAGGCCGAGCGATGGGTAAGGCTCCGAGACAAGCTCATGACACAGGAGGCACGAGCTCGGGGCATCCATAGACGTGCAAATGAACAACACGCACTGCCCTCCTGCACGTGCTTCCTGAGCACACACCACTGATACCCCCAGGCCACGAGCAGCAGGCTCCCTCTTACAGTCGCTCTGCTCCTGTGTTGTATTGCCCTGGTAGAAGAGACAGGTTCAGTGCCCAACGATCAACACACACCCAAGAGTGGCCCCTTTTTGCAACCGGATGTACAAGCTGTACAAGCTGAAAAGCCAGCCTGCTCACGGCTCCCCGTCTCCTTGCAGAATCTTCATGGAGCGCATGCGCCCCCAGGCCCTGCGCCATCACAGCCACGTGACAACCATCTCCTTCCAGGGGGAGGCGCTGCTGAGCCAGCTGCAAGTGGTGGGGGGGAACGAGACCGGCGTGTTCGTGCACTGTGTGACGGAGGGGTCGGCGGCACACAGTGTGGGCATTCGTCCTGGCACCCAGATAATGGCAGTGAGTGGCGCCCAGTCCGACCACAGTGCAGTGCGGTTTGTTGTACTGGGGAGTCCTGAGACGCCCCAGTCTAGCAGGTTATAGGCCACCTCTCAATCACCCCCTTCTACAAACCTGGAACAATCGCACTGTGAGTCAAGAGGTAACAAAAGTGATTTAGAGATCATGTGAAACAACAATCAGCACCCTTCAGCCATTAAGGACCAGAGTCCCTGAACTGGAAAGAATACCTGCTTAACTGGCCAGTGACTTCCTAGTGTTCCTACTCACTGATGAACCAGTGATTTAGGGGGACCTGTACAAACATCTGGACTGGGGACAGGCCTGTTGTCTGCAACACCTCCCTATATTACAAAATAAGCAAGACAAACATGACAAAACAGAGGAGGCAATTCAGCCCATCTATTTGATTTGTTATTTATTAGCTAAGTCCTCCTATTCCTCCTTGGTTTATGGAATAGTCACTCATCCGTGTCATAGCTTTTCCAGGGATGAGATTCGCAGTCTGGCTGGGTGACCTCCTTTTAAGCAGTTATTCCCAATGAGAACCTCACAGTTTATACATACTGTAAAATGAAATTGAAATCACAACTGCAGGTCAGCAGATCAACCCAAGTACTCACAAGGTGAGTGTTAGTTTTGCACACTGCTACACTGCACAGGCAGCGATACAAGCTTGACAGCAAAAAGTACCTGCAGAGGACGACCCAATGACACACAGAC